GTTCTACACGCCTTTGCCGTTGTACCACACCGCTGGAGGCATCATGTGCATGGGTCAGGCTGTGGTCTTTGGCTCCACGGTCGCCATACGCAAGAAGTTCTCGGCCACCAACTACTTTGCTGACTGCGCCAAGTTCAATGCTACTGTAAGTGATGTATTCATTTCCTCTATTAGCTGTCTGATCTGACAATATCTATCCCCACAGATTGGTCAATATATTGGTGAAATGGCCCGCTATATTCTGGCCACGAAGCCATCTGAATACGATCGTGCACATCGTGTGCGTTTGATGTTTGGCAACGGTTTGCGTCCTCAGATTTGGCCACAGTTTGTGGAGCGCTTCAACATTGCCAAAGTGGGCGAATTCTATGGCGCCACCGAGGGCAATGCGAACATTATGAATCATGACAACACTGTGGGCGCCATTGGCTTTGTGTCGCGCATCTTGCCCAAGGTTTATCCGATCTCCATTATACGCGCTGATCCCGATACGGGTGAGCCCATACGCAACAAGGATGGCCTCTGCGAACTGTGCGAGCCCAACGAACCCGGCGTCTTCATTGGCAAAATCGTCAAAGGCAATCCTTCGCGTGAATTCCTGGGCTATGTCGATGCCAAGGCATCGGCCAAGAAGATCGTCAAGGACGTGTTCAAGCATGGTGATATGGCATTTCTGTCCGGCGATTTGTTAGTCGCCGATGAGAAAGGATATTTGTACTTCAAGGATCGCACGGGCGACACATTCCGCTGGAAGGGTGAAAATGTGTCCACCAGCGAGGTGGAGGCGCAGGTCAGCAACGTGGCTGGCTACAAGGACACCGTGGTGTATGGCGTCACTATACCGCATACCGAGGGACGTGCCGGCATGGCTGCCATCTACGATCCGCAGCGCGAACTCGATCTGGATGTGTTTGCTGCAAATCTTGCCAAAGTGCTGCCCGCCTATGCGCGTCCTCAGATACTGCGACTGCTCACCAAGGTGGATCTGACGGGCACGTTCAAGCTGCGCAAGGTGGATCTGCAGAAGGAGGGCTACGATCCCAATGTGGTCAAGGATGAGCTCTACTACCAAACTACAAAGGGACGCTACGAGCAGCTCACGCCCAGCATCTACGAGCAGCTGCAACGCAATGAGATAAGATTTTAAGAGCCAGCAATCAATGCTCGCCTAACAGGGTTATTTTTATTTTGTTTCTATGGTTCTTTGCCTTATCCAAACCTAATGCTGTTAATTAATGTGTAAGAGCCTCTTCAACTAATGCACACATCCCAATTAATGCACTCCCATATATTTATATATATATATGTACATATATTCACTTATATGTATATATAGATATATCTATATGTATTTAGTATATAGCCAATTTGTGCATTTTTGTTTAGAACGCATTTGCGACTGTTTTGCATTTGACCCAAAACTTTGTTAAGTGCAATTTTTATATGCGAGTGTGCGTGTGTTGAGCGCGTGTGTGTCTGTTTTCTTCTGTTTGTCTTAGTGTTAGTCACTTAGTAGTATATGCATTTTAGAGACCACAGACCATTTTATAAAATATATATGAATATATATACGTGATTAAATAATATGTGAAATGCTTTATTTCCAGCCTGTACATACAAGCAGCCTATTGGTAACTGTCCTAATTTTATAAATCCCTTGCTTATCTATCATAATAAAGTTCTACAATCAATTTTTGTTTATCGAATATATATGTATATATAATGCTTTGCTCAATGCGTTTCTCTTAATATGTCACGATGCTGTTCCCTCCACTTGCATACAAATTACGTACGTTAACAACGTTCCCCAGCTGCCATATATACTGGATAGAGAAAACACGTAATCGTGTGTCTACAGCTTGACCGTGGATGTTAAATGCAGTGAACTTGAACTCTAGGCGACATGCACTTCAATCTAAAATTTCGATGGCAAATGCAGTTACATGCCTTCATTTGCTGAATCAACTCCTGGGAGTAACCTTTAAGCCCGGTTTGCTTATTTGCGATTTATCGAGGGCACGCTGTTAATCTTAACGCCAAATATTTGAAGAAGAATTTCAAGTATTTTTTATAAGAAAAGTAAAACTGGAGTATCTATACATATTTTATGCTAAGTACCTGAAACAATTATACATTTATTTTACTGTAGAAAAACTGCCTACAAATGTATGTTAAATTTTGGACATAAGGTTATATATGTATATACATATATATTTTAAACCAACAAAAGGTGAATCCCGAATTAATAATTTTGAATATATATAAATATTTGAAGCAAACTCAAATACATTGAGTATACGGAAGAATATTTGTCTAAATGGATAAATATTTAAATGTTGAATTATTTAGCTTACTAAAAAAAAAAAAAAAAAAACATTAATCTTCTATCCATCAGTTAAATAATTGGCATATATATTAGCATAATAATAATAATTTTGTGAAAGTCATTTAATATATTTCAGTGTCTACCAAAAACATTTTTTTTAACTATATGCTAAAAAACTAAATAATTAAAGATCATAATTTATTTGAACAACAAAAACAACTGCTGAAGCGGACCATATGGGCTGACTCTATATTTTCATTGGAAAAGCGCATGTATATGGAGAGCAGTTTATTTATCTGCCAGTTAAATATTTGACACGCAGTTTGCTTACAATAAACAACTACAGAATCTTACAAATAAACTTTATTTATTGTCTATAAAAAATTTCTAAGTTAAACTCTGGTCAGAGCTAAAAATAAATAATAATTTAGATATTTCAAGTCCAATTGAGCAAATAATTCAGGGAGCCAGTAATCTCAATCATATACATACATACAAATATATATTGTATGTTCTGATAAAGAAGGCTTTGCTTCAAATTGTAAAACTTTTCGATTATACCTTTTTCTATACTTCGAATCAAATATTATGTCGACTTAAACAATTAAAAAATGCTTGACATCATGAAACAATTTGTTGATAACAAACAAAGTTTATTTTCACTGATTTCGTTTAAAGCGAATTAAATATGTTCTTAATATGAGAGATAAAATTCAAAAATCAATAATGTTGAGCTTAAGTAAATGAGCCTTGCGAGCGTTTCGATCATGCATAAAAAGGAACACAATTTTATATAAATATTTATATATCAAATAAGAGAGAGAGAGAGGGAGATTTGTGCGTTGGCATATGGCGGGCAAAAAAGAAACATTAAACCTTTTACATTTCGTCGCTATGAACTAAACGATAATTATATAATTAAGTCTTTTATAAAAATCACAAAAATCAACACGAATTGATCCCATGGGGATCAGAGCTTGCACAGGCAAAATAGCAGCGGTATGAACGCCCCTATGGCTATGAACACGGGCATCAGTATGGAGGAGTCGTCCATTGAATACGGGTTCGGCTGACGTGGACCACTGCGCGTTCGCTTCGATCCCTGCGTCGATTGCTGTTGCTGCTGCTGTTGGGACTGCTGCTGGTGGTGCGCCTGCTGCTGGCGTTGCGGTACATCTGCTTCACCCTCCTCCACATCGTAGTCATCCTCATCGTCATCATCGTCGTAGCCTCGTTGAGCTGATCGGTCATTGTAGCGCACAATGCGCTCCTGATGCTGTTGATTATCGCGCGGACGCGACGCACGCGGCTTGTTCTCCTCCTCTGGCTCGACCCGGCGCTCGCTGGCCTCCGTTTTGTGGAGGCGTGGCAATTGCGAGACGTCGCCCTTGAGCAGCGCAAAGGCATTGATCTTTGGATTGTCGAGTGCGCCCTTGATGAAGTCCAGGCGCAGTCGGCCATTGCGCACGTCCGACGTCTCGATTTCACCACCATACTCGTAATGCATGCGCCCATTGATGATCTTAAAGTACACGATTTCGTCGTGCGCCGAGCCACGTCCCACCTGATTGTATATGTCCAGCTGCTTGACCACCGTGTGCTTGCGATTGAGCAGCACATCGAACACTTTGCGATTGGGCGCATCAAAGTAGACTTCGCAGAACTTCATAATCAGGGCATAGTCGCCATCGCCATCGGCGGGAAAGTCGTAGCCAAATGTGGTGGTATGATAGCGCTCTGTGCGGTAGAGCACCTCGTCCTGCTCTGGGACACGGCCAATCATGAGCAAATGTTTGCCGTAGTCCGACGAAATGCCCACGTTCAGCGGGTCCGCCTCGTAGTGTATGCCATTCTGATCCGTATGCTCATCACCGCCCGCATTCACAGCGTAAACGACTTTCAAAGACTCCGCCTGCGCCAGTGGCAGAAGGCAGTATAAGGCCAAAACCAGCACCGTTAACGGCATCGCACAACTTGCCAGCAAGTTGTTTACGTTGCATTTGTACATATTTTCCATTCTCATGGCTCTTTCTGTTACAGTTGCTCGTTTCTTTGCCATGGTGAGTTCGATGTCCACTTAAAATATATCCGGACACGTGGCAGCGGTTTTATTTCTACCGCCTACTTCGTGCTGACCATTAGTTTACCCATTTATTGAACAATATTTTATTCTGATGTGGGCCGCAATGTGCTAGCAGGAAAATACCAAAAGTATCGGTAATCGATAAGGCAGCCTGCAATGTTCAAAATTTTACATCACTAGCCAGCGCGGGATGGATTAAAAATTATAAAATTACATTATGAAAATTTAAATAAGCTAATAATTAAATAAATAAAAAAAACTAAAGTTATTATTATGTGAACAAATTAATTTTTATTTTGTTACCCCTTACAGTTTATCGAGCCCGTGTTTTCGATTTGTCTGCTCACCATAGAAAACATAAATCTCACACTTTTCTTAGCAGAGCACTGTACTGATCATTTTAATTTCCCATAATTTATAAAAATGTATGCCAGCTTATATTAATTAACCAATTAGCTAAATGCTAAACATAATCACTTACCATGGCTAGTGATATAGTTTCAAACAATCGAAATTTTCCCGCTCAATTGCTGTTATCGAACGAAGTTGGCTGCTTCACATTCCGTTGCATATACATGTTTCACAGCACTGTTGTTGCCGCCGAGTTTAGCAGCACTGCAAAAAGCAGCTACACGTGCGGTTTGTGATTTTGTATGAAAATACCTGGTGTAAAATAAGTTATTATTGCTTAAACTAAATTGTCTTGAAGCTCATAAGCAGTTAAAGCTGCTTCAAAAGGCTGCTGAGTTGTTACAGCCATGAATTTCGATGACGAGGATAGACTCGAGCTGCAGCATTTGGCGGGCGGCAACATTGTGGAACATGCGCCCGTTTTCTCTGCTCAGGGAAGGTTAGTTTAAACCACATTTAATTCGCATGAATGCAAACACTTAATTTCCTTATGATTTGTCTAGATTTGTCTTTGTGCGATGCGGCCTCAAAGTGCAGGTATTCGTCACCAGCACAGGTGAATTGACACGTGAACTAACAGATGCAACAGCGCCGCTGATAAGCCTCGAGCTCGACGTGAAGCAGCCGGAACTGCTGCTCGGCTGCACCAGCACAGGGCAAATGCTACGCTGGCATTGGCGCACCGGCGTGCTGCAAAAGAATGTGAACATACAACTGGGTGCAGAAGGTCTGCAAATACTTACGTGTAATCTGCTGAATCTGTACAAGGAAGGCGACACCGCGTGCGCCTTTGTGACGGCCAAGCGAAAGAGCGGCGAGCAGGTTTTGTGGTATGTGGTCAACACAAACACAGGAGCCGTCATTGACATTCAATGTGGCCTCAAATTAAAGTAAGTTCAATGAACAACCGAAAAATAAGTGGAAAGAAATAGCCATAATAAATCAAATTTATTTTGATTTTTTAAATATTCACCTGTTGCTTTCTCTCTTCACAGAATTCGGACACCCTTGGTGGATGTGGGCAAGGGCGCCTTTAAGTACATAATACTAGCACAGGGCTATTATCTCTACTTCCTGGACTATACAACGTGGAAGTTCTGGCGGTTCAAGAACACAAATATGGGGTTGATAACATGCGTGCGCATGAGTCCCTGCGAGGAGGCGGCAGCCACGGGCGATGAATCGGGCAGGGTCATCGTCTGGCGGCAATTTGACAATCAGGAGCGTGTACAATGCACCCAACATCATTGGCACAATACGCCCGTAACGAGCATTGCGTTTACGCCCACCGGTATCAGTTTCTACAGCGCCGGCCATGAGGCGGTGCTCGTAAAGTGGACACTGAGCAATCAGGATGAGAAAAAGTTCCTGCCGCGCATGGCCAGCATTATCAGGCACATTGTGATCAGCGACGGGAATGAGCATGTGCTCGCCTGCACTGATGACAATGCTCTGCACTTTGTGAGTCCCAGCGAGGGGAATCTGCAATCGACGCTGCAGCATTTCACATATGCGCTGCCCGACAAGACGGGCAAGACCATGTTTCCCATTGGCCTGTGTCTCAATCCACGCACCAATACGCTGGTGCTCAATGGACGCATTGGACACTTGCAGTTCTACTCGGCCTATACGAAGAGCATGCTCTACAATGTAAGGGAATTTGCATTTTAACTAAATTCAATATTAATTTAATACATTCTTCTATGGCAGCTACGTGTGGTGGACAACAATGTGAACTCTCAGGAGGCGCAGCGCATCATCTACAATACGTGTGTCACGCGGGCGGCCTTCAACATAAATTGGATGGTCACGGGCGAGGAGTATAATGATCAGCGTAACTTTCCGGAGTTGCGACTTAAATTTTGGCAATACCAGGAAAAATTACAATGGTAAACTAATTGAAATCGAAATTAACATAAACACGAGCAATTATTATCTGGTATCTTCCATTTGCAGTTACAAACTAAACACAAATATAGAGCTGCCGCATGAGCACGGTTTCCAGGCCATCATCTTTTCCAATCAGTTCCAGGTGAACAATTTGCGCTGTGCCAGCGCTGGCCAAGACAATGTGATCAAACTGTGGACTTTGGGTAATTCGGAGAACATTTACCAGCGTGGCAAAATGTGGAGCTGTGCGGCTCAAGCGAGCTACAAACGGCAGGCGCTTGGCTCCATATGCTTCTCTCAGGATGGCTCATTGCTGGGTGCGGGCTATGGCAGTACTCTGGTGCTGTATGATGCGCGCTCGTTGCGACTGTTGCACGCGCTGAGCACATCGGCTGGCTATGACGGTGTCGTGGCCAAGGCACAGCTGCGTCTGGCGCCAATGCCCATGAATGGCACGCGCACAGAGCTCACGCAGCAGCGGCAAAAGCTGTGGGGTCTGCTGCAAACGTTGCTCGACAGCGACGATCAGAAGCTGGTGCAGCAGGCGCGGCAACTGATGTCCAGTGCACCGATCAGTCAATCCAAGGCCAGCAGCGAACAGATACCCAAGGAGTCTGTGTACAAGCATATCATGCAAATGCCCGAGCTGGGACTGCATCAGAAGCTGCAGCTGTTGCGTCGCTTCGGCATCGAATGCACCGTCCACGAGGCATGCCACAAGCGCCTCAAGGAGCATCTACAAAAATTTCTGGTGGATCCCATGGCGGTGCAGCGACGGCTCTTAACGTTAGAGGCGCGTTTGCACCGGCTGCAGCCGCGACAACGTTTCAAGGCGAAACTGCGGCTGACACGGCTCAGCGGCAGGCGGAAAAACTACGAAGAGGTCGTCAAGCAGGAACTGTTACCGATCTTCAGCGTGCTGAAACTAGATGAGACCACCAAGGCAGCCAAAACAATGTCTGCGAAGAAGCGAAAACGCTGGGAAGCGGCGTCAGAGAAGTCGCTGTCAACGAAAGCAGCGCCACTCCAGACTGTTGCCCAAATCTCGCATGTGCAATTCGGAGCTGGCGCGCAGGCGCATTTGGTGGCCGTCTGCACAGAGTCGCGTGTGCTCATCTGGAACCTAATGACACTCCGTCTGCAAGCGGGCCTCAAGCTCTCCGTGCGGCAATTGGCCTTCGATCCGCTCACCAATCTGATAGCTGCCGTCACACGCAACGATGAATGTGAGTAACTGCAGCAGTCTATCGAATCCTTACTCATGCTATACATTCTCTTTTTCATGTCCATTCCAACAGTGCACGTCTTCCAGCCAAATGTGCCGTTGCCCGTCTATCAGCGTAGCAATTTGCCCAAGCTGCATGGCCTGGTCTGGTTGCCGCGTCGCCAGCCCAAGCAGAGCTCCATCAATGTGGACTTTCAGGCGCAATCCACGCTGCATATGCTCACGCACAAAAAAGAGATTGTCTATCTGGCCACACCCGGTCAGGGCACAATGGACGATGCGCCGCCGCCCATTTCGTTCGCCCAGCCATCGGATGCGGATCAACTACTGCAATACGCCACCTTTGGCAGCTTCGTTGCCAGCCAGAAGTCCAACGAAGTCAGAGAAAATGTTCAGACTAGCGGACCGCTGATTGTGGGACGTAGTGTGCATAGTTCAGTGGATGCGGTAAGTTTTTTGATAAAGCTCACTTATCAGGGAGGGTTTCAAAATGGAGTATCCATAATATATAGAATGACTGAAACATTCTAAATCTAAATCAAGATTAGTTATAAGGGTGCTATTCGCAAATCTCAACATTTTCAAGGCTAAGGTATATCAATTATTATCAGATATAGAAATTGCAAAATTAATAACAATTAACTTACATTTTTGATTAGGTTTTTCCTTTATTTTTAATTATATCGAAATCTAGAAAATTTGACAAAGTATATGCTTGTTTAAGGTAGCACTATTTTAGTACTACTTTTTCTCTATAACAAGTTTATACATTAATTTTTGTTTCAAATCAGCATTACTATAGAATGTCTATAAAGGGCCCTACTTCCATTTGTTCCGTTTTCTCTTCCATCTTTTTTAAAAGAGAGGAATGATCTAGGTCCGTTTTGAAATAGTAGGAATATATTTTTTGTGTGCTCAATTCCCAGTTGTTCCTTTTACCTTTCTTTGGCCGATTTGATTTGAATGAGCTCTAATATCAAATTTTACAGAATGTTAAAGCTTTCGATTATACATTTTTAATATCAATTTATATGTATTTATATAGTTATACGAATGTATAGGATAGTTTCAAGTTATATTTAGTTTGATTTTGTTTCAATGCTATGCTTCTTTTTCACCATTTTATCAAATTAAAACATCTTATGATCTGACAAGTCGATCTAATATCTTTGAGAAATATTATTTCCTTTTCAATTTAGTTATTGTAGTAGTTAAAAAACTGTTGGGTATATCTCGCCCTTCTTGGGGTTTTCATCTTTTTATTGAAACCTTACGTGCTATGAAGTACAAGTGGTTAGACTTAAGGTTAGTTTGGAGTAAATACACATATATATAACATAATAAATGTTTATATTTATATGTTTATATATGTGAATGTATATTAATATATAATTATTATATCTATTATTTTTGGTTTAGCTTTTTGGTCTTGTTATAAATCCTGTTGAAATTCTATTTGTAATTGGAATTCGTCTTGTTGTTCAGTCGGGTGCAATTTTTGTTGTTGTTGCTGTGATCGTCACCTGATCGTCACACTCTCTATTTCTTCTTGCGTATGAGCGTATCTCCAAGGCGTGGCGCCGTGGGAACACGCAAATGTCGACAGCGACGCATCATCAGAACATCGTGCTTAAAGTAACGCAAACAATGCCATTGGGGCACCTTGGGCATGAGCTGTTGATGCTAATGTGGAGGATTACAAAAAAATATATTGAAAATGTAGAGTATATAGAAATGTTCTTTAATAGGTTTATGTAGTACGAAAATTTTAATGAATTTATTTTAATATGGGTTTTGGCTAACATTTTTTTTTAGTTGAGTATTAATTGTTCTTTATTAAAGTGATGTCTTCTAAAATTGTTGCATTAGGTTATAGATCATTTTTGATTTATGATTTGTTCTATAGAAATGATTGATTATCCATAATTTTTTGCACAAAGATTTTATGATCCGTATTTTATTTTCTTAGTTCATCCATTTCTTGGCTTTCGTGCTACAGTTCAGATTAGTGGCGTAGTAGCTTTTCTGGCAGCCAAGTGTCTACACTTTTCTATTTTGAACTCAATTTGAATAATTTCAATTCAGTATAATAACGCCATTCTCTTAAAAGTTAAAAGGCGCGATTGTATTGTCTATTTCTGGATGCCTTTCAATTGGGCATTATCATATCAGCATGGCAACTACATTAGCTTGCCGTAGGTCTATTTTGGATAGCTGAGAAAACTGTGAAGGTACTGAAAAAGTTAACTTTGAGTCCCGCTCAAAGATCATTCGTCATAGGCTATAAATTAATCACATTGTTTATTTATAATGATTTTTGAAAACACCTCGGATTTTTGTGAGACAAATTGATAAGAAATTTCACTCTGCATATTATATAATATAAGCAAATGGAATATTCTCTGATCATAACAAACAGTTAGGCGTGCTGATTAACAGCCGCCCAAGTCGTGTTCACGGCCTTTTGATTGCCAATTAGAAAGTAATCTTTTAATTAACTGCTGCACTTGCAACATTGTACCCCGGAAAAGTATTTAATTCCTCTTATAAGAACAGAGCAATATGAGAGCAAGAAAGAAAGAGAGAGTGCAAAAAAAATTAAGAATTTGTTCTTAGCTTCTTGCAACTTCTTTGCACTTCCTACTTCTCTTCGTACTCGTACTCCACACAACGCCGCACGCCCCGAAACTCACCTCATTCACAATTGGCACTGGTCCAGCTTGTGCCCAGGCACAGAATAATGCAAGGCAAAGCAGCGAAATAACGCCGAAAAAGTTGGGCCACATATCGGTATATATGGACTTCACTTAACTGCACTTTCTTTTCTTATTTGTTCTTTGAATAGAATAATAATTGAACTTTTTTTTCAAGCTGCGGGTCAAGTGGTGTTTTTTTTTGCTTCTGTTATTTTATTTCCGTAAACTTTTGCGGCACGCGCTTCCGTTTGCCAGGCTTCCTTAATCACGCTCTCCCAGGGTTTGCAGCACTGCTCCCACTGTTGTTGTTTGTGCAAAGTACAACGGCACAATGTTGAACGGGTGTCGGTGCTCAATGCAATTTATACGCCGCTCCGCTGCTACTGCAGCGCCAGCAGAAGCAGCGGCAGCACCAGCTTCGTGCGTGGCGCGCTCTCATAATTCTAACACACGAAGTGTCGGCTCATCAACTTCGGTTTGTTATTGTTTCTCTCTGATGCTCCTTGCTTCGTATTTTATACATGCACTCATACACACACATACATATATGTATATATATTTAGCACTGCATTGAGTGCAACTGCCAGTGCAAGAACGCCCACTCCATGGAGCTTGCGTTTATTTCGGACCTCTCTCTCTCTCTTTGGCTCTCGTCTTCGTTGTCATGCCACGCTCGCTCTGGCACTTTTTGTTATTCAATTTGTTTTGTTTATGCGTAGCGGCATTTTGTTATTGTTGCGTGCTTTTTCGCATTTTTTAAGCTTATTATGCTGTTCAATACAATAGAGTCGCGCATTAGTTGTGGCTAGTTTATGATGAGTTCTGAACAAGTGTAATTTCCCCAGAGACGCAACCACGTGGGCTAATCCATTGTAATAATTATTATGCCAGCATTTGATCGTTATTGCCATAATTACGTTACATTCATGCACTTTGCTGGCGTAGCCTATATATTTGAGCTAATTTATTTAAGTCAGTTGCTCTCTTGAACTAGTTTGAGTTGGTTTCGTCGAGCTGCAATTGGCGAATGTAAATTGAATTCTTTTTTACTGATACTGAGTCACACATTGGATTTGTTTGGACGCTTCTTCCGGCTGAAGAATCTTAGTAATTAAATGCTTGCAGTTGATAAGTAGTTTCAGCAAAATAATAATTTTGAATTATACACGTATATAGTGCCAAAATAAATGTGAAAATTGATTGAAAGGTAGCAGCGACGCATGCGCGAAGGCTAGCAGATAAGAGATACTTGAGCTTGACAGCAAATGACAAACTCATAAATTAAACGAAACACAACACTTCATAATTCGTATAAGAGGTTCAGATTGTGATTTTAGCGCTGTGAACTTGAACTATAATCTGAATGAGCATCGCCCCGCCAAAAAATAACAAAGTGACGACAAGTAATTGTAACAAAAAAAAAAAAATATATATATATATATGTATATAGTCAAATTTAATCCAACTAATATAGTTCTATGTGTTTTTTTTTAGTGAACTCTGTCAAGGTGAATGCCAATTAATGTTCTCTCTCCGTTTCGTTTCTCAATTACAGCTGGTCAATTTGTCCGCCCACACGATGCCTGCGATGAGCCTGATCTGCGGCGAATTCATCAAATCGCTGCTAACGCCTGCCGACAGCGCAGCCAGACACAGAGCGGTGATGGAAGAGACTCTGAGCAATGGCAAATTGAATGGCAATGGGCTCTCGCACCTAGACAGTGATGTAGAGAATGACGCAGACGAAGACGAAGAGGGGGAGGCGGAGGAGCTAGCAGAAGAGCAGCAGGCAGAGGAGATGCGCAAAACGTTGCTGGCGCAGAATGCGGCGCTGGAAGAGAGCCTCAGTCAAGAGGACATGCAATTGAAACTGGATGAGCGACTGCAACGCGTTGCGCAGCTCGATGTACAGCTTGAGTTTTAATTGTAGAATTATTGCATATTTTGCAGATAGACACAAACCGTTCGCTTAATTTTACAGTTCAGCTAGGTACACTGACGCTTGTAGTTGTTGTAACAAATTGTCTTGATTTTTTTTTGTATACAAACGAAACACCTATAATGCGTGAGTGTTTTATAAAATATAAACTAAATGCAGTTATTTTTACAAAACAATTTTGTATTCTATAAATAGTTTTATTTTATTTTATAGTATCAATAGTACAATACATACAACTATGGCACTTCCAGAATAATCTGCGGCAGCTCCCATTCAAATTTGTGTTTGCTTGTGTGTGCCTTGCTCTCTTGCCCTCGTTTTTGAGCCTCGGAAGCCACTAGCCTCAAGGCTTAGTGTGATGGAGCGAGAGGTCAGATGATCGCACTAGATCACGCACTATACAATTATTCTATGCCCACTCGCTCTCTCTCTTCAATTTCAACCTTTTGAGAGAAGAGTAGTGCACAGTTATAAGCTAGTTTGCCATGTTTATATATAGAATTTCACAAATTTTATTTTCAAAATAAGCATAAATTTTTCGAAAGTGTATAAAATCGTGGACTTGCTTTAAAATAAGTTTCATAATACGAGCATAAATGCACACTTGCAAAGCTTGTCTATATACATATATGTATTTGCATAAATTGGTGTGTGTGTGTGTGTAGCTGCTTGCTGAAATTGTAGAGATGTACATTTCGAAAAATTGCATTCTACATTTCCTATCTCTGTACATACAAATATACTTATGTGTTGTGTGGCTACAAACATATTTATAAATGTGATTATATAACTAATTAAGGATTTGAGCATATAAAAACTATCTTTCATCATAATCAGTTCAGCTATTCAGTTCCGCCAAAATAAAACAAATTCCTTTTCGTTGCCTAAAATTAATGACTGTATGTATACATAATATATATTTTTCGATATTTTGTTCTTTTTATAAAATATAAGAAATTAGAAGTCATATGCTTAGAAATGTTTGCGATATGGTATTAGACCGGCATGGGCGAGCACATTATAGATTTCCATACGCGGTATTTTCTCTGCCTGGCGCTCATATACCTAGGATAAAATAATTATTAAATAAGAGTATAAGTATTCAGATAAAATTAGCGACTTACCACCTGCTCGCCGGGCCCAAACCAACTGGATCTGGCTAGAGCATCCCTGACACGCGGCGTCTTATAAAAGGGATTCTGTAGTTGTTGGGGCAATGTCTGCTCCCAGGCGGCGTTCTCCACAACCGCAATATGTTGCAAGCTGCGCTGGGGACGTGCTTGAGCGAAGGCAATTAGCAGAATTGTTAAATAGATCAGACGGTAGGGTAGGCACCTGTGTAACGGAGTATAAGAGTTGGGTATAAGATCAAGTTGGATGCGTAACATGATTGCAGAGGCGAATGTACACTATTATTATGATCATTACATAATTGTGGCGTGCATATGATATGACCAGTTTCCGCCTGTCACGCATGTGGAACTCCACGGGCTCCACCTTTCCCCAGGCCCCCTCTTACGAGGAGTGGCTGCCTATATCCCCCTTGCAGCATAACCAGACGCACGCTTGGCCAGGCTGGCAACACGCCTAAATAACCCAAATGGACCGCTTTTCACAGTCGGCACTGGACAACTACCTCTATGTAGTCAGCTGAATTGGCACAGCAACTATATACATACATATATATATATATATATATATATATATATATATATATATACTGGTAGGAGTTGTCGTCCATATGACGGCTCTCATTTCCTAGATGTCGCGTGCGTATTGAAAAAAAAAAAAGTGTGAGAGAGAGAAAAAAAAAGTAAAATTTTGTATTTGTAGACGGCCCACTTTTGCTGCAGCCAAACTAACTATCTCATATCTGTGGTTTTAATGGGATAACCGGCAATGCGGCGCTGTCGCTGCCGCTGCCGCCTGCTACTGGATGCGCCACAGACGCATTCGCTGATGATGTAAGTTTTGGACTTGATATTGCCACTTGGGGCAAGATTGCATACTGCATTCATCACATTGCTTGCTGCGTGCCCTTTATTCGCTCGCTCGCTCGTTCGTCAATTACGTTGCGTAGTGTTGCAGGCGTAATATGATTACGTGAGCACAATCAGGTGCAGTTGCAGTTCAGGTATGATGTATGCAATTTGAACATTAAATATATATTATATCACACTTTTTTTTAAATATATGCATATACAGAAATAATATCAATTTCTATATAATAAAGTATTAAATTAAATCTTTTCTGTATTAATCGAAACTTGTTTTCAAATTGTAAAATATTAAAAAAAAAAATGAAAGTACTTCAAAAATAATTAATAAATAATGTGAGCCACGAATAAGCTTTCACCAAATAATATTTAAAAAACACAAAAGCGATGGAATACCACTCCTATGTTTAGAAGGCCCGCATAGACCCACAACAACACACATAAATAAACATAGTTAAGGGCTAGTGGAGGCTATTAATTAATTTTACACTTTTTGCTTTTTCCTTAACGCATGGTAAATAATTGTTAATTATTAGCTAATTAACAATTACAGCGATCTTCATGAATGAAATAACAGCGCCAAGTAACCTTGTAGTTGTTAAAAGGTGTGAGATGAACAATTTTACACTCTTGTATTTTTATTTTATTTTTTGGCATAACTTTACGAGTCCATTAATTGCCATACAACAACAAACTGTGTTAAGAGCGGCATCTTTAAGCCATGACATAAAGTTTCAAGGCCTCTCGAAAGGCCTTTCACTGTCGAATGATCCCGCAAGTGGCTCAGCACTTGCAGTTGCAATTTCTCAGTTTCAGTGATTTTCCAGTTGTATTTCCTCATTGTATGCAAAAAGAATAGATCATAATAAAAAAAAAGTAGTCTTATGTGAGTGTAGTTTTTTTTTTTTTTTTGGGGGGACCACGTAGAATAACAATACGTCAATCTTTGTCAATTAACCAAGTGACCCAAATTTTTGTGAATGAACGAAAAGCGTGTAACTGCAGCGACGACAACGCCAATTGGATTCCATTGACCCAATCAAATTTAACAAAAACAAACTCGGACTGTTTTTCTAAGTTACAGAGTCCGAGTCTTCAAGTCGGACTACGTGCGCGGTTCCAAGTGAGAGTCACAGTCATACTCAGAGTACCAGTCACAGTCACAGTCACAGTAGCAGTGGCAGTCACAGTCACAGTTCGTGGCAGAGCACATAGCATGACACACAAAATACGTTTAAATAAAACCTGTAAACACTAAAAATAAAAATCAAAATAAATGTTGTGGGGGACGCTCAGAGTTTGCCAAGTTGGATTGCATAATGCAGTCGACGCATGTGCATGCAACGCAGTTGGGCTTCCACTGAGAAGTCGGGCCCATGTCTGCGACAACAAACGCGATGATCATTAGGCTGACGATCGTCAGTAATCGCATGGGTAAATAGTTTTCTCAATGGTCTTTGCCGCTTCATTCAGAGCCAAAGAACTTACAAATATCAATAAAGATGCAGCAATATATGTTCAGATATTTAGTTCAAGGGTGATGAAAAGCGAGAATCTGAGATGGAAACTCAGATGGGTGAGTGACATGAAGAGAAGTTATATTCATGAAGTGGACTGTCAGAAAATGCTGGAATGCACTTAACTGTCATATAAAGAAAATGAACTGCGATTTATATAGTTTTTTACCTAAAAATAATTAAATATTGTAAATAAATGTAAGACTTCTTAGCCTTGTTAACATGTACATGCATGTATAAGCAGCCTCATATAATTCACTCAAGCTAGTCATCTTCCTAGGTCACTTGAACAACTCATTCAAGAGAGACTGCAAAAAGATTCACTTCCGCATATGAATTGCAGTTTTGTATGTCGCAGTTCAGGTTTGGCTCATTACAGAGCATACTTATTCATGGGAAAGTGTAAAAAATTATAAACATATAAATAAAATAAAAATATGGCTTAGGCTGGTTTGAATAGCTTTATCGAATATTAAAATATATACCTATTATATAATACACTCTTAGCAATATTACGATGATAATTATAATTATTCAATACTATATCGATTTTCACTTTTCGGACAACCTGGCACAGTAAATAGAATCACGATTTATTGCCCAAAACAATTGGGTTTGTCGATTGCTTTAACTTTAAATCGTTGTCGATTTATGGTCAATATTAATATTCCGTTCTTGTAACGCGTCGAAGACATGACAATATTACTTTTATATAGCTTAATTGGGAAGTTTGTTTAATAACAACCATGCCTACTTTTATACAAAACTCAGAGGTAAGAGTAAACACTGATAATGTTAATTCATATATCTTCAGTATGCATAGTACAGCTATAAATATAATAAAATATATTTAACATTTTTTAAAGCCATAAGTCAAAGCCACAGTCTCAGTTCGAGAGTTTGAGCAATGATAAGTATATCAAGTTGAATTATAATACATATGCATAATTATATATGTATGTGATGAGGATAGTACGCTTTTGTTTTCGAAATATTATCTGTATCTGTATCTGTATCTGTATCTGTATCTGTATCTGTATCTGTATTTGTATCTGTATTTGTATCTGTATCTGTATCTGTATCTGTATCTGTATCTGTATTCGTATTTGTATCTGTATCTGTATCTGTATCTGTATCTGTATCTGTATCTGTATCTGTATTCGTATTTGTATCTGTATCTGTATCTGTATCTGTATCTGTATTTGTATCTGTATTTGTATCTGTATCTGTATCTGTATCTGTACCTGTATCTGTATCTGTATCTGTATCTGTATCTGTATCTGTATTTGTATCTGTATTTGTATCTGTATCTGTATCTGTATCTGTACCTGTATCTGTATCTGTATCTGTATCTGTATCTGTATCTGTATCTGTATCTGTATCTGTATCTGTATCTGTATCTGTATCTGTATCTGTATCTGTATCTGTATCTGTATCTGTATCTGTATCTGTATCTGTATTCGTATTTGTATCTGTATCTGTATATGTATCTGTATCTGTATCTGTATCTGTATCTGTATCTGTATCTGTATCTGTATCTGTATCTGTATCTGTATCTGTATCTGTATTCGTATTTGTATCTGTATCTATATCCGTATCTGTATCTGTATGTAATCTATTTTGCTCTTCTCTATATTTTTCTCAAATTTTCATTTTTATAAAAAAATAACAGTCCAAAGTTTCAATAACAATGCAAAGCGCAAAATGTTGCCATTAACTTTATTAATTTATTTGGCATTGTTAGGAAAACGTGACCGTTAAATTGAATTATGTGAAATGAGCCACTGTCAACTTTTATAGTTTGGTTATTTTAGAGCTTGCCAATGTTTGTCTTGTTGTTGTTGTTTTTCTTGTTGAGATAGGTCAAATTGTTTATGGTCATTTGCATTGCGCCTTCAGCTGTAATGTTTGTTGTTATTTGCAGCATGTTGTTTTTGTATGTTGCTGTTGTTTGTTGGATTTGTTGTTGTTTGCTGTTTTCTTCTATCATTGCTGCCTGCTTGCAACTATTTTGCTTTTGGCGGACATACGTAAATATTTTGAATTTTTATTGAGTGTTAGCAAACGTTTTTTGGGAATTTAGTTGGTGAACGACACTTGAATAATTGATGGCAGGGGAATTTCACAAGGTTTAATAACAGTTGTTTTTGTTGCGCGAACTATGAAATTGTCATTAAAAAGCAAAAAGTAGTGTTTTTAATATTCAATTAATAATAAAAATGTAATGAATGTCATATATTTTAAGTTGACTAGAATTAGTGTATATATTGTTATTAATTATGTTGAATTAAATATTATTTCATTATTAAATAATATTAATTGATGTTATTTTTTCAGCAATATTTTTTAAATTTTTTTTATTTATTTATTTATTTATTTTTTAATTTTTGTATATTTTTATTGATTTTTAGGTTTCAGTAAAATTATCGTAATTTTTTTTTCTATGTATACATAATATGTATTACATATGTATTTGCATTTTAGCAAATTTATGTATAAATTCAATAACAAAATTTTTGTTTATTAAATTTGGTTATATTTATATAAAATTTATATATTGATAAATACTATTATATATTTATAGTTCAGTGAAGTTAATTTAATAAAAAATGTCAATATATAGAAACTTAATTTTCATTATTTATGTACAAATGTATATATAAATATATTCTTTTAGTTTCAATTAAATTATTAAAAATTGAATTGAAAAATGCTCATTATTTTAATTTTAATTTATATTTTGCAACATCTTCACTTTTGTATACAAACTTCAATTTCACTCACATTTTTAAATTATGGTAATAAATTTGCAGTTAAATTAAATTAAACTTCACGTTCGATTGGATTGGCTCTTTATTTCGTTTGTTGTTTCTTTTTTTTTTCGCTGCGTAATCCTTCTAAACAGTAACCGTTATGTTTTCAGTTTCGTTTTACAAGCAACCGCAACAAGTTGTTTAAAAAGACGCAGCCAATTGGCAACTGAATTGCACATTGCCAGCCAGTCACTAGTTTAGCAGCTCGAAGCCAACGAGTTGAGCTGTTCGAAGGCAGCTTTTTAAAGTTTTTGAATGACTTAAAGAGACGAAAATGAACGACAACAACTTGACGATGCCTTAACGAAAACTTAACGAAATATCGAAAGCTAGGTAAAAATGCAAGTAAATATGCAAAGTTTTAAATGTAAATATTATATGTGAATATGGTCACTCAGTAAATAAAGGGTATATCGATAGAGAGCACAGAATAGGTTTGTGAGATAGTATCAGTATATTAGGGATACAACGTAGTTAATTTTTTCTTAGTTATTCAGATTTCTGTAAATAAGGTATATTAATTTAATATATCAACATTAAAAACAATGAACTGTCTATAATTAAAGCATATTATATATTTCTGATATTAATTAACAGCTTAAGCTAATTTACTAAGATTGTAGTACATAATGATCGACAAAGTCCTCCAACATGTCCATTAGGCGATCTCTATACAGTTGATCGGAGTTGAAAGCCTTCATGCAGATATCGATGCGTTTGCGATCAAAGAAATCGCTAAATCCGTCAGCGGAGCCCGTCAACTCCAGAGTGCTGGCTGGCGGCAGTATAACCAAATGGCAGAAGAGACAGCTCTCGATGAGTCCGATGATGCGATACTCTTCCACGGACTCCTGGAACTCGGCCACAGTCATGAAGTCGTCGATGTTTAGGCCGGCGCGCTTAAAAAACTCGGTCATAAAGCGATAATACTCGGCTAGCAGCTCGTTGAGATAGGCAGCACGAAACTGGCTCGTCGTCGGGATGGTGAGGACCGTTAGTAGATCCATGGCGGGCGGTGCATACCTGGCCAGCTGGAAGTCCACCAGGCGACATTGGAGCGGCGTTTCGCCATATTTGCCATACTGGAAGAGTATGTTGTTCGCCCAGAGATCGCCGTGCAGCAGAGTGTTGAGGCGCGTCTTGGAGGGCTTGGTCAGCTCAAAGATGAGCGACATGCGCTGTGTAAAGTTGGCCAGAATAAAGTCCAGTTGACTCTGATACTTGGGCATTGTCTTGATGAACTCCTTGAGCACCTCACACGACTGATTGAAGTTGACAATGCGCAGATGCTCTGGCGGCGAATTCGATGGATACGCGTTCTCCGTCAAAGGCTGCCTGGGGCCATGCTTCTGGTCTCTTATGATGGAGCCGGCGTGCATGGCGGCCAGGGTCTTGAGACAGCAGTGCAGCTGCTCATAGCTAAACAGGCCATCACGACCGGCGCCCATGCGATAGCCCTGATCGATCAGATTCTCAAAGACCAGAAGATTCTTGTCCGCATAGTAGCACTTGGGTGCTATCTCCGTGCAGGCGGCCTGCACCTCGGGCAACACTTTCTTATAGACGACGATCTCCTTCTGGAATACTCCGAATGCCTCGAGATACTCCATGCGTGCGGCATTGCCCTCCGGCGCCACCTTGCAAAAGAATCGCAGCTTCTGCTCCACAGTTTCGGACAATCGCAGCACCACCTCCAGGTAGAAGTGGCTGCCCAGAAATCCAGCCGGCGCATCAGATGTGGGCTGCAGCTTGTAGCTGACAATCTCGAATCTGTCGCGGATCTCATGCTGATGCAGATAATTCTGGCACAGGCCCTGAATATCGGTGCTGCTGAGCTCTAGTGCCGTTGCCATCTTGATTCCAACTGTGGTCACCGCTTCGGGTGCACCTTTTACTATATACCGTCAAATCCTAATGAAATACACGTATGGATACCTGCCGCTATAAGCCGCTATAAAACACATTTCTGATAAGCAGCAGCGCAACAGCGTAATGCGATAGAAAAGATTACATTCGGATGTTGCCATCTCGTAGCCTAACCTTAGCAACGCTTCTAACTCTAGCAGATTTTGGCAAACGAACGAAGTTTGAACACTCTTCAAAGATGCATTTCACAATAATATATTTCTAATATATTTGATCAATTTTGCATAAATTATACATATAATATGATAAGTATTTATTCCATATATTTCATTTGAAAATTGATTATTTCTATTCATTTATTATTTTTAATAAACAAATCATACCATATAAAATTTGAATAGGAAACTTTCGGTTGATCAGTTGATCTTGCTATCGACTAGCTGTTTATCGTCCTCTTTGCTGTTCTTCCCCATCTAAGTAAGTAAACCCAGGCCTGAATTGATGAATATAATAAAAGAGATTTACAATTAGCATAGAGAACTTTTAATACAAAATATGTTATATGTATATAGAAAATTCTTTTCTTTTCCTATGTAACGCACCTCATTCGAAAATATAATTAACTATGGTTAGTTTAAAGTGCACGTGACAATGGCTGGTCTTTCATTTATTATACAAAAGTAATTGTTATCTATTGACGCACTAAATGCTAAAGATTTTTTAAATTTAAATTAAGATTTAACGGTGAAGTTTGTGCAACGCTTAAATTTTACAATTGCTAAAATTTACTTTTCCCACACAGAAACGTAAATGCCCTGCGTACATACGAATGTATAGTCAGATAAAATGTTTATAATTAATGATATTTTTACTTTAAAAAATATTAAATAAATGTTCATTAAATTAAAAAAAAATATATAATATATTATACATATATATATATATATATTATTATATAATATAATATATATATATATATATATATATATATATATATATATACATATATTATATAATTGAATTTAATTTATGTAATCAAATTTTAATTAAATTATTAAATTTATAATGAAATAATTAGAATTTAATAAAAAAATATTAAAGAAAATGGTAATTTAAATTAGAAATTTATTTAACACTTCAATTCATTTTTTTTTATATATTATAAAATAAATTGAATTGAATATGATATGATATAATTTAACAAATGAATGTAATAAAATAAAATGTAACTCAGACTTAGCAAAACTGCAAATATAATTAAAATTTTTCCATCAGCTGATGTCAACTGAAAATATAAATTTTTAATTTAAGCAGTTGAGCTAGAAGCGTCTGGCTAAGCATTATCAAATGGGTTATGGAGGCGCTTGTCCAGCCCCACCGGCGCGTGCTTATCACATGGATGTTTGATAAGTGTTGGCCACTGTTGACTCAATGTACACAGAGACTAATACGAAGGATGATAAAGTTAAAGACCAGAAAGCTATATAAATAAGTTAATCTCAAAATAAATGTTGTCTAATTGGGGGAGGTGTGTGAAGTGCGTGCCTGAAAATGTTGTGAACTTCAACAGCTGCAACAGAGCTTTATCGAGATGAAATGAATGTAATTACAAAAAATTTATATTTATATTGATTTGACCATAAGCAAATAGCAGTCAGTAGTCAAACAGAGCTCTGGACAAGAGCCACGCAATGCGTTTGCGACAGAGCGTTGAGGAATATTTGAAGAATTCGACGTTGCATGGAGCCCGTTTCATAGTGGACAAAGATGCCGGCTGGCTGGAGCGCATCTTTTGGGGCGCTTGCCTGATGCTCTCGTGGTATGCCTCCTGGCGACTTATCAAGGCATCGCTGGGTGAGCTTGGATATGATTAGATATAGTTAGTATAGCTTACCTTCATATTACTTTCCATGTCAGCTGCCTTTGAGAACAATGCCATTAGCTTTGTGGTGGAGAGCTCCTATCGCGATTGGGATACCAATTTCCCAGCCATAATTGTGTGTGAGTCAAAGAACATGGATCGCATACAGGAAGTAGCCGAGCAGTAAGTAAATTGTGTGTATATGTTTAGGCTTAGTAGACAATATCCACTCCGCTCTCTAGGCTATGGGGCGTCGATCATGACTTCACCTTGGAGGAGGTGCTCAGTGAGATTGCCTTCTTTCGCGGGGAATCGTATCACACGGTGCACGAGTGCAGCGGTGAGGATTCCACAACTGCGTGCTTCTATTCCAATTTCTCCTATTATGCTCAGTTGGTGCGCAGCAGCTGTGTTGACTCCATACACAGCTGTGAGTGGAACGACAAACCCTTCGAGTGCTGCAACTACTTTCACCGCATGGAAACGGAGCTGGGCATTTGCTATGCCATCAACTCAATGCAGGCGGAGTGAGTTGCGATTCTCTCTAGAAATGATAATGAAAAATGGTCATATTTGAACTCAATATACATTTTCTCTTTCCTATACCAGTGCAAAGTACAAAGGTCCCAAGCTAAATATGTTCTCCAATCGCTTTACGGGTCCGGGCTCATTAAAAATGGAATTACATACGGAGGCAACGGTAAGTTTTTTATTTTATCATCAACCGTTTTTTTAAATTTTATTTATTTATTTCTTATTCATTAGTTATATTTAGTTAAATTCTTTGGCGAGCTTTTCTTAAAAAATTAAATTTTATTATTTTCTCTATAAACATTGTTCTTGTAATTAAAAAAAATTCTCCTCAATATTAATTAAATTTTTGGAACAGGTTTCATTTATTTATTAATTAATTATAATAATAATTGTATTATTTTTATTTTTCTTGCAATTTAATTTAAATTAATTAATTAAAAATTGTATAGCTTCAAGCTAAAACCAAGAGTTCTTTTACAAATATAATAACAGCTCCACTATGTATTTATCCATAGGTATTTATATTGGGAACCGAAGAGGTGCCTACGTTGGTGACACCAAAAACAGATTTTTTCATTGTGGGTCCCTACATATCTTTTGTGTGAGTACAACAATTTTCACAGTCTCTTTCGATTCACTCAAATCTCTTTCAATCAGTCGCTATGTGTCCAAGCGCGACATTGAGAACGATGAGGAGATTCGCCAGACGAGTGTGCATCAGCGCAATTGTCGCTTTCCGGATGAGAATATTCTGAATGTGCATCGGTATTATAGCTACAGTGCCTGCACCGTGCAGTGCCGCAAGGATCGGCAAATGGAGTTGTGCAATTGCTCCAGCCACCTGACGCCCAATTCGCCGGATCATGAGCTGTGTAATATGGATGGACTGGAGTGCTTGAACCAGAACTACGAGGATCTGTCGGTCATCATTGCCAAATGGTCGCGACGCCGCGGACGCAAGGGACTCGTCTGCGATTGTCTGCCTTCCTGCACCGAGGTGGACATTACCACCGTGTATGACAGCAAGGATAATATCTATGGCTATCAGAATCCTGTGTCTAAAATCGAGGTGGCGCTCATTGAGCTGCCCACAGAGCGCTACAAGCGCAATTTGGTGAGAGGCAAACTGGACCTGGTGGGTAAGTGGAAGAGCTAATGGAAGTCGTCTGAATCGTTGCTATATGGATGTATGTGTGCATTGCAGTGTCTATTGGTGGCACAACGGGTCTCTTTGTGGGCGCCAGCTTGTTGAGCTTTGTGGAAATCATATACTATATGACCATACGACCCTACATGAGCTACTCGAATGAAAGACGACGCCAATTGCGACTCAGCCAGCACAGAGCGGAACAGTGAAACTCATTGCTTCTCAATTTACACCTGCTAACAAAGCTTTATGAATTCTCATTAAATAATTCAATTCTTTTAATTTTATTAAGAATATTTCTTATTTTTAAAATGATTATTTATAAATAATTTATACTTTTTTAAATCTACAATAAAATAAATAATTCGGATAAAAATAATAAAATAAATAAATAACAAGAAAAAATTAAAATTGTAATAAATTAAATATCAAAAATTAATTTAAATAATAATAAATATTAAACAAATATATATAAATAATGAAGAAGTAATTAATTTATATATTAATAATATATTCATTAAAGAAGAAAATAAATTCGGCTAATCCGCTTCAAAGCAAAAACTGTCCTATTCTTATTGTTTTTAACATTTAAATAATAAATATAAATATGTAAATATAATCACCTTAATTAAAAAATAAAAAGCAAATTAGATATATATAAATATTTACTTATGTATTTTCTATTTTTATAATTATATCAAATTCATATAAGTAGGTCACTTAATTGATGGCTAAAAGATAAGAGCAATGTTACAATATCTTAAAGAGCAAACTTTTTTAAAATAAACATGTAACAATTATAAAGCGTGCCTTATCAGCTGTGCACTTGTCAAGTGCTAGAATAGGCGTATCCATAGGTGCATATACCTATATATACTTTAAAATATTTACATATGTGTATGTATATTTGAAGGCACGAAAAACAACGAAAACGAATCGAACTATTATATTCTCCGAGCTGCGTTGAAAATAAATTTTCATTGCTGCTCAGTTGAAAAGCGTTGCGCAGCGCTTGCACACGGCCGAAGAAAAAACTGTTGCTAAAAAAAACACACACATTGTTCGCCCTCAAAGAGTAAAAGAGCGGGCGTATACGTAATGCAACGTATACGTAATATGCTCTTAACGCGCGCCGAGTGCGAGCAGATCTTAAAGAACGTGTTGAATGCAACAGAAGAGCAGTTGCAACTATTGGACTATCGACTGGCAAGGGATACATCAGCTGTGGGCTATCTGGGAGATTATTATACGCTGACACTAAGCTATTGCACTGTGAGTGAGTTGATCAATTGAAACAATTGCTGTGATTATTGTCACAGTGACTTTTCATTGAACTTGGCATGTTTAACATAAGATTATTTATGACTATATATATATGTATATACATAAGAGAGAAATATACTAGGCGAAATTAGATTCTCTTTAATTTAATATTTTTAAAACGTTTATATGCTTAAAAAATGCATATACTGTATTTATATTTATTTGCAAGTTAAGATCATAAAAAATCCTACAAAACCATTAATTTTTTAGCATTAATTTATGCGAAAAAATGTTTTATATATTTTTAACTTAATAAAATAATTGCCTACTTTTAGGCTGACACTAATATTCTTCAATCTCGAGAACTTTTTGTCAAAGCGCTGCCACAGCTCAGCGATGAGATGGAAAAAGAGGCCATTTTTCGCAAAGAGGCGTGGCTATATGATACCCTGCTAACAAAAATGCAAAAATATTGTGCGTCATCAAATAATTAACATCTAGAATAGAAATTAATTTGTGACTCTTTATAGCGAACATCAAATGGAGTGCTAAATGTTTTTACACTCGACCAGATCTTATTGTGCTAGAGAACATCAAGCTAGCTGGCTATCGAGCTGCCGCAGAGAAGCTGCTGAGCGAGACGCAACTGCAACAATTGTTACGCAGCATGGCTGCATTTCATGCGTCCAGTTTGGCTTACGAGCAGCGCCAGAACTTTAATATTGGACGCGAGTGTAGCGAACGACTGCAGGAGATTACGGTCGCGTCCAATATAGCCTGGTTTATCACTGGCATATCTGCTGTTCTAGCTGTGATTAAGAGTCTGCCACAGTATCAGGCGAACAGTTGGATTGATCAACAATTGGCCAAGATGGTGGAGCGAGTTTATGAACAGGTTTCACCCTCGACGAAATATCGGAATGTGCTCTGCCACCGTGATCTATGGGCAGGCAATGTTCTCTTTCCAGCTGATCCGCAGGATGCAGTTATACTAGTTGACTATCAGACCTGTCGCTATAGTCCACCAGCTATCGATTTATGCTTCTGCCTGTATTTAAATCTATCAAGCACCGAGCGACAGCGTCGCGAATCGAAAAGCCTTGATTTGTATTACAATTGGCTGCAGCAGAGCTTGCAGCACTTTGGCTTGCGATCAGATGAAATAATATCCAAAGAGGAACTGCTGCAGTCCTACGAAGAGTTTCGTCTCTTTGCTACGGTCTACAGTGCTGTGGCGGCCACAATTATCAAGGTGCCTCCTGCATTCGTGACGAACGAATTCAAATACATAGATCGCAGCGCTGTTATAATGAAACATATGAGAGGGAATGCAGTATTCAGAGATGAAATGGAAAAGTGCTGTATCGAAGTCGTTGAAACTGCTATGAATACTTTATAGCTGCGTCTCTCTCTCTCCCTCTCTTTTTCTCTTTCTCTTTTGTTTTCACTTTACACTCTCTTCTCACACTAATTCAATAGAAAAACATGATAACTTATCGTAAATAGTAAACAGAAATAAAATTCATGTAAACAGCACAGCACACCGATGCTTTTATACACTAAATGATGATTATTATTATTGGCCTTTGTGCGAATTAATTTTAATTTATATCATTTATTGTACAAGAAATTTAATGGAAATCAAAAATACATACTGTGTGTTATACATGGCACTACATTAGTCTACTACATGGCAGTACATTAGAAAAAAAATTATTATGTCTACAGAAATTTATTTAAAAAATGTTTTTTTAATTGCAGTCAATTTTAATAATTATAGATATTAAAAAAAAAAAATTATAAAATAAATAAAAATAAATAATATTTTATAAATTGATTACAGTTGAAAAAAAAAAAAATTAATGAAAATAATATCTTATCTTGTTTAATTGGTAAATTATAATTTTGTGTTCTTTCGTTATATTCTGTAGTCAATTTATAAAATATAATATATAAAATAATAAGTTTATATTATTTAGCTTTCATTCTTGACCAAGCAACTAGTTCAATATACCTCAAATAAGAGTATAATTAGTATATAAATTGCCTTTGCCGGTCTCTCGCTCATAACGCTCCGATTGCTGGCTGCGAACGGCCAGTTTTATATGTAATATTTTCAACTGAACAATGAGTGAAGACAACTATAATCCCGTGCTAACGCGTGTGAATCGCCTGGAATTGTTTACGTTTGAAGAATGTGAAAAGATATTGAAAGCTGCCCTCGAGGATCAACAGCAAAAGGGAAAACTTAATGAATTCAAAATTGTGCCAGCCATCGAACATGTGGGTTTTCTAGGAGAATATTATCATCTGATTCTTAGCTATCAATTGGATAGTGAGTCAGAGCAGCGCTCAATGCGTCTGTTTGTCAAATCTGTGGTCTACGAGTCTGCGAACATGAGCTACTACGAGGAGAAAAAGTCGATAATACAAAAGGAGGCGAAACTATACGAATTGCTGTTGAATGATTTGAAGAAATTCTGTAAGTTTCTTTGTAAAATTATACGTAGTTTCCATAGAACCCAACTATTACTAATCTACATGCCATAAATCTTATTTTAAAAAGTTTTTTCTCTATTTTTAATTTTTTCTTATCTTTTTTTTTTTTTAATAGTTTGTTTATTCTTTATTTTTATTTCTTTCTTATCTTCAATCGAAAACAGCTGCTCATGTTTGGTGTGCCAAATGCTATTTCACCCGAGATGATCTGTTTGTCATGCAGAATATCGAAGATTTGGGCTACAGATCATTGCCCTCGGGCACACGCTTCCTCAGCGAGGAGCAGTTGTTGCCCATGCTCAAGGCTTTGGCTACGTTGCATGCGAGCAGCGTGGCCTATGAGAAACGTCATCGGCTGACCATTGGCGTAGCATTCAGGAAGTGGCTGCTGGAGAAGTCTATTGATCCCGACATTACATGGTGGACCACAGGTATAAAGGTGAGTTAGACAATGAAAGTAATAAAGGAAACTGAACTAAATACGCTCTATATAAATGTAGGCCGTGCTAGCTATGGCCGCAGCGCATCCGCTAGTTGTTAATAATGCGGCTGCCCAGGAGTATGTGGCCAATGAGCTGCCGCGCTGCCTGGATCGTGTCTACTATATGGTGAATCCATCGCCTGTGCATCGCAATGTCTTTCTGCATCGCGATGTCTGGGGTGGCAATGTGTTCTATCCTCAGGAAGAGTCGAAGAAGTTGGGCTGTGTCCTGGTGGACTTTCAGCTCTGTCGCTATGCACCACCAGCTGTGGATCTGCTGATGGCCTGCTATCTGAACTTGGAGCCACTGCACCGTAAGCAAATAATGGATAATCTAACGACCTGTTATTACTCGCACTTGATTGATGAACTGACCGCCATGGGCATCGAAGCCGGGCGTGAGCACCTGGACCATGCATCCTTTGCGCGATCCTTGAAGGACTTTGCTCTCTTTGGTGCCACCTACAATTGCATAGCTGCCACAATACTGCGCCTGCCCGACAACTATCTGAAGCAGCTGAAGGACGAGCAGCCCATGGAGTTCCATCGATTCTGCAATATAGATCGCACCGCAGCCCTAGTGAGATTGATGAGTCAACATGAGGATTTTCGTAACTATATGAATGCGTGCATCGAAGACTTATTGGAACTAACCTACTATAGAGCCAACTGAAATGGCTCAGTCTTATCTGCTACGTTTACACAATGCTCGCATAGTAACTCAGCTTATCAGCCAAGATTATTTAATATGAAGTATTATAAAAAAAAAAAATTGTTTTATATGATAACTAAAATACACAGATAGCTTTTGAACTCATCTCTAACAATTTGTTATTTTGATTTCATGTTGAGCTAAGCTAAATTGTTGTGGGTTTAGTTCACTTTCAACAGGCAGCCTCAATGGAGCTCAGCTCTGCGGAATGTCTTCGCATCGCCTTACGCACGCTTCAGCTGAAAGATGACGATGAGAATTTGATTTTACTGAAGCGACAACTTGAGGCGGGCTCCACTGAACTGATGGGCTATATGGGCGAATACTACAAACTGCACTTGGAGTTGGAGCACACGAACACTAAGTGCAAACACAATTTACAATACTTTGTTAAGAGTTTGCCCTACAAGAATCCACCACAGCGCGCCGAATGCGAACGCAAAGGCGTCTTTCGCAAGGAAACATCTATATATAAACTAATATTACCGAATATACAGAGATATGGTGGGTTATAAGGCAACTTTTCACTAAATATGAATGAATTTTTTTAATGGGTATATGTATTACTGAAACTAAGCAGAGTAACAATGTCAATTACTTTCAATGTCAAAAACTATTTATAGGGCAGGTAATTTATTATTATTATTTAATAACAACGATTTTAATTTTATTAAATTCAAATAATTAAAAATAATTCAATAACAATGATCTAATTTGAGTGCATAACTGTATGTATATAATTATAATAACGATGGTAACAGTACAATTAGCTCATTATAAATTATAATCAATTCGGATAACATATTATAAACTAATATAAATATATACTATAAATGATATACAAAAATTTAAAAAAATAAATAAATAAATAAAAATTAAAATATTTACTATTATTTTAGCCAGTCGCAAGCTATTTCCACAATGCTACTACAGCAGAGATGATGTAATGGTGCTGGAAGATCTTACGCAGCGTTACCGACATCTCAAAGCCAATGAGAGCTACTGCCAGGAGCATTATAAATTGGTCTTAGGACATTTGGCCGCTCTACACGCAGCGAGCATCGCCTGGGAGGAGGCAGAACAATTTAATATTGGCGAACGTTACAAAAATGTATTCAAAGAGCTGCTAATGAACACGGAGAACGAGTGGTTTATCACTGGATTAAAGGTGAGTAGATTTCTATTATATATATATATATATATATATATATTTATACATAACCTTATTAATTCTTCAATTCAAATATTATTCTTATAGGGCATCGTTTTCTTGGCCGTTCGACATGTCAAATACCAAACGGAGCGCGCTCAAACTTTCATAAGAGAACAACTTTTTCACCTCCTGAGCGAAACGGAACAGCTTGTAAAGCCCTCGAAGAGCATAAGAAATGTGCTATGCCATCGCGATACCTGGGATCGTAATATCCTCTTCGGGTTTGACAGCCCGACGGCCAGCTTGCCGAGCTCTTGTTGCATCGTGGACTTCCAATTGTCGCAGTATTGCTCGCCCAGCTTGGACGTGCTCTTTCTCCTCTATATATTGGTGCACTCGGCCCAGGAGAGGCGCAACATGTATTATCAGGCATTGGAGTATTATTACGATGCTCTTCAAGCTGAATTTATGCGCCTCGGTCTGCCCGTAGATCTGATTAGTAGGTCAAACTTTCTGGAGGAGTGCGAGCGAACGCGCTTAGCAGGCTTGACTATGAAGGCGCTCACCGAGCCACAGACCAAGATGTTGGCTGTGATTAGCAATAAGCTGCGCTCAGAGGAGCCGGAGAAGTTTGACTCCTACTTGAATTGTGATCGCAGCGAGATGTATTTGAGAGTCATGCAAATGCAGCCGGGCTATGAAGAAACGATAATGCAGCCCATAGCAGAGCTGGTTGATTATCTCATGGAGCGAGAGAATCTCGATGTCTGATAAGGCTTATCCTGATAACAACTGTAATGCAATCGTGTACAAAAAAAAAAAAAAAAAAAAAAAAAAAAAAAAGATGAACAAGTGACTCGACATGCATTATTTATTTAAAAGACCTAACAGTTTGAACTGGAACTAGAGACACATAATATATATTTGTTTAGGTATATAGAATCTAGCTAGAGAGATGGCATACATAAATATATAATAATGTGTATATACTCGTATATATGTATATATATATTTATATATATATATGGCTGTATAATACTAGCTTCAAGCTGGACTCGTCTCTGGTAATCCGCATTTGAATTGGTAAAAGCCTAGCTAAGTTTAAAAGGCGTCTTTGTTTTCTGGGTTTGCCAGCTAATCGGTCCAGCAATCCTCGTTGGCATCATCTTCGTCGTAGTCGCGCACATTGAAGTCCTCGTGGAACAGATCCTCGCCCTCCTCTTCGGAGGACTCCGACTGTCATCTGATGCCACTGACACGCTGTGGCAGACTAATCACGCCCTTGGGCGGCCGAGGCATTCGAATGCTGGTGGCTGTGCCCGCTGCCGCCGATGTCGATGCCTTGCCAGAGACACTGGGTATCAGCTGGGCATTCAGAATGGTTGGCTGATCGAAGCAGTTGCAGCAGTACTTGTCGCAGCGCAACAGCAGCGTCAGTCCGCTCAGCAGCCAGACGAGCACGCCGGGCCAGGCGTGCTCCGCACAGGCCGAGAAGAGGACGACGCTCAGCAGCAGGCAGAGGGCGCAGAGCACGGGACTCACATTGATGACGCTGCCCGTGTACTGTGGTATTATGCCCATCATCATGGCCACAATCAGAACACCGATGGCTCCAGTGAATGCAGCTGGTGCCCAGTGCAGCACCAGTCCAGCCACGCACAGGGCAATGCCCAGGCCGATGACAACTATCGAAAAGATGGTCACGCGCCAGGAGCTCACTGTGGGCACACGCACGCTGCGCTCCAGGGGACCCGCTGTGGTTACCTGCAAAATCATATAGGTGGGTTAGGCTTACGGCTATACTGAGTGCTGACTTGGCATACCTTTATCTTTTGTCGATACTCATCAACGATGGCATCAATGTCTGTTGAGGTGTCCGAGTCAGTTTTGTCAAACTTATCAGGATACTCAAAGTCAGATGGCT